TTATCATATGTGGTGTATTTTCTTTTTTCCAATATTGTGCATAAGTTATGCGCGCTGCAGTTAGTACATGTACAATTAGATAACGTGTATCTTTCTTAAGCCCCTCTGGTATTATACCTAGGAGAAAAAATTCTGGTTTAAACAAGATTTGGTCTCCCATCATTTGTTCTAACCATGATTGAATCATTTTCCAATATTTTTTTGCCACATTGCACGTCCACCACATATGATAAAAAGTGCCTGGTGTTTTTTTACACTTCCAAGAATTTGGGGCCAGATTTTTAAACATTTTGGAGAGCTGTGCTGGGGGGAGGTGCCATCTGTAGAACATCTTCTAAATATTTTCTTTATACACCATAGCCATTATTAGTTTCTGATTAAGTATCCAAAGTTTTTCCCACTTAGCCAATTCCACATTGTACTGATTGCGAATATTAAATTCGTGCTGACGGACGTGCTTAGATGGCTTGGGAGCATAGTGAGTCCTCAGTGTCTGTTGGAGCACAGACCAAGCGACCAATTGTAGCGGTATTGGCTCAGATAGGTCTTTGGCAGTTTTGAACACTTCCTGTCCACAGGAACATGTTCTTCTTGCGGCCTTCAGAAAGGTCCATGAGATCATTGGCTTTGAGGAAGCAGTCGAACCTCAGCATATACGAGTCCCAATGCTTGGTGACTGGGTCATATGGAGTCGGTGTGGCGTCCATGGCCATTTTGTGTTCTGAGACGTTTTGAGTTTGCTGCTGAAAAATGGTTGCTCGAAGCCATGCTGAGCTCCGGGGTGGATTTTCTTGCTGGATTGCTACACTCTTTTTGGTTCACCTACTTGCCTTCCAATCCCACCTTCGTCGCCAGTGTTAGATCAGGTAATGGAAAGGCAAACTCAGGCTAAAGGCAACAACAGCTCTTTATTGTAACAGAACAAGTATGTACAATCCAGTGAAAGTTGAGTCTGACAGCAGCCCTTTTAGAGGGAGCTGTTAGACCCTTCGACCAATGAAATTAAACCTCTGTTCCCGCTAAAACAGAGGACCTTAGTGGAAACCATTATAACTGTAGCTAGTATCTAACACTTTATTTTCATGCTATTGATTTATTAATATATTAAAATACCAGTGCTTTTAGCTACAATTCAGTACTTTGAAATCCTTTTCCTTATGTATAAAAACACGGGAAATGATTATCATTTACAAATGTTCATTCTATTTTTAAATGATTTAAATATAGTTTCTTAAATGTGATTCTTATTCATTTTTTAAACATAATAATAAGTTTTAATTTTTATCCTTGTACTGTTAGTAGTGGTTTATGTCTAGTTCACACAGTACTAGTTAAGACTAGTAGACTTTACTGTTATTTTGTACTTTGTCAAACTTTTAATAAGTTGGATGAATATAACATTGCAGTGTTGTCTATTTTTGCCTTTAACATTTGCAAATAAACTTGTAAAATGTACTGATTCAATTCATTCTTTTAGCTATGCCAACCAAGTGTGGTTTATGATAAAAGAAAGTAATAACAGTATAGACAAAAAAGGAAATTTTACAGTCATATGTCTCATTTGCCATCAAATTATTATTTGGTTTAGTGTGAGCAAATCTGGGAAGTGTTTGTGCCTAAAACATAATTTCCACACAGTTCATAAATATGAAGTTTTTAAGTATAATTATGTCTATTTGCATTAGCAATTTCTATTCTTAAGGTCACCTAATTGGGGAAACAAATCCATGAACTGAACCTGTCTTGAATTTAATTTTTAATTAGTTTTTTATAATATATAGTCATTATATTGAGATTTGAGGAACTAAACATCTAATAATACTATTAATGATAGTTTTATAGGGACAATAAAGTTTTTTATTTGCTTTTTTCTATCCTGTTCTTTCACAAATACATTTATGATTGGTAATGTGTTGATATGGATAAGAATGTAGATATTTACTGAATAAGTGTCTCAAATTCAATTTTCATCAAGACACACCATCCCAGAGAGTGCAATTTATCCTTGGTACAGAGGATGATGATGAAGAACACATTCCACATGATCTTTTTACTGAAATGGATGAACTTTATTTTAAAGAAGGGGAAGAATATGAATGGAAAGAAACTGCCAGGTAACTTAGAAGATAATTCCTTTTGCTTCATAATAATAAATTAAGAGAAATGGCATACTTTGAATATTTGAAGGCCATTAAGTAACTGAAGTTTCAAAACCCTTAAGTATATTTCTTCTAGCTGTTGATATTACTGCTTTGTCTAAGTTGATTTTTTTTCTCATTTTTGTAAAAATCATTGTCTTTTTGCAACATTGAAAAAGTAAGCTAAAATAAAAGTAGAATCCTACAGATGGTCCCATTGAAGTCTAGACTTTCATTTTGCATAGACAGATACTAATCTCCAAGTCTCTTTAAAAACAAGTTACTAAATTGTATAGGATACCTGGGAAAGTAAGGATCAAATAGAGATTTAAGAAACAGAGACAATTGAAAGAACTTTAATTTAAGATAAACTGAACACAATGTTTGTATTTAAAAAACTAAGACTTTTTTTACTATACATGTTCGTTATACATATATATATATATATATACACACATATATATTGCAGATGGCTAAAATTTGAAGAAGATGTTGAAGATGGTGGTGAGCGGTGGAGCAAACCTTATGTGGCTACTCTGTCTCTTCATAGTCTGTTTGAATTGAGAAGTTGCATTTTAAATGGAACGGTCATGTTAGATATGAGAGCCAATTCACTGGATGAAATAGCAGGTCACATAAATTTTGCTTAAGATTTTATTTTAATGTGTTTTATATGTTTTGTAAAGTAATTAAAATACATTTGTGTCTTATGTTTGCAAAAAAAATTACAGGAATTTTATGCTCTAATTTTTATTGACAATATTGCAATCATATTTCAAAATCCTGTTGATGCAGCCCAACAAGGTATAAATTAAGTGAGCTTTTTGTATTTTACTACCTTTTTCATGGCTTTAGAGATAGCTTTTTTCATTGGAAGCAGTGACAAGGATATTATTTAATTCTGCTTAATTTAGAATAGAAACTTTCGTTTTTTCAAATCATAATTTTTTAGCCTAGCACTCTCATTCCTTTAGTGATGTTCAAGCTCCATTATAATTGCAACAGACCATCAGCAAACTAATTTTTTAGGTTTACACCAAATATTATGGTCCAAAGTAGCTGGTTTTGGAAATGTTCCAGATGGGTGGATTAAATCTTGAAGTGGTTTAACTGTTTCTGAAAATTCTGGGAATTAAATGCTAAACATCTAGAGGGTACTGAGGCTAGAAAAAGCTTTTCTAGAATAGGAATGGAGTTGATTATTATTATTTTTTTGTGAATAGCTTCTAAATGAGGAAAATAACTTTTGGCAAGCAGCCACCAGTGGTAGTTGTTGCATTGTTGAATTATATAGGATTTTTTTCCTTTATTCTTTCCCCCCATGAAAATACCAAAACACAACAAATATCCTAAATAAAATCAATGTCTACTAAAATCTCAGTTGGATAATACAGAGAATCATAAGCATACTCCATTTTTGGTATGATTTAGTCCCAAACATTTTAACACTATTCTTTTAAACATTTCCTACATATCCAAGGCTTGAAGATGTTTCTCAGATATATCAATCTTTCATATTTATTTTAAATTTCATTTTTTCCTTTGTAGATATGGTATTGGATAACATGATAGCTTCTGGCCACCTTGATGAATCAATGAGAGAAAATGTCAGAGAAGCCCTTCTGAAAAGACATCATCATCAGAATGAAAAAAAGTTTAGTAATCGGATTCCCCTCGTTCGATCCTTTGCAGATATAGGCAAGAAACATTCTGACCCTCTCTTGCTTGAAAAAAATGGTGAGATAAGTTGTGGCATCCAGTTGTTTTATGGTTTAATAATATAATGCAGAGATGTGAGAAAAGTCAGCACATGCAAAAATAAGATTAGAATTCATTCCCAGCAAAAAATAATTGTAAGAACAATTGTGCAGAAAATAAAATTATATTTATATCTTTTGAACTTGGAACATTTAGGGCAATTATTGCATCATTGAACTCATACTTTTGTCTTTCTAGTACCCTAAAGCATGATATATGTAAAAGAAAAGTGGTGGATATTTTGTTACATATGTGTTGTCTATCTTTCCTTAGTTTCTGCATCTTCCTGTCATCATTTTCAGGAAAATCATGTGTTTTTTTTTGTTAATGACAGATGTTAGCTTTCTTTTAGTAATAATTAAAGAGTAATTTTTTGGGGGTGTGTGTGTTTTTTGCCTTAAAAGATATCCTGATTTTGCAATTGTGAATATTATATATCTCAGATATATGATTTATTATAGAAATATAATATTATAAGATACACAGGTTTTGTGCTCTTTATTCCCTGATTGCTCCTTCCTGTCACAATTGGACTAATTTTTTATATTCTGGAAGTCTGACATCTTTTCAGGTAATTTTCATTTTAATCGTGTTATCTGAATTTTTTATTCTGATTGCTGCAACTTAGTTGGCTTTTGAACAATTTAATTTTTTTAGATTACTTAATTTGGTGTGAGCTGTCTAAAGATCTAAATTGCTAACCAGAAATTGAACAGCTTTCCAGTGAATGTTTCATTATAGTTAGAAACTAATAATAAATGCAAGTTTTTAAAAGATGCTCATTTAAGTATTTATCCTTGATTCTATTGTGAGGTTACATCTATCTGGAACTGTCAAATGTATTTTTATAGTTGTGGTAAAGATTCATATAGACATGCATGTTTTTGTTCACTGTATATTTTCTGAAACTTGCATTAAGAAAGAAACTTAATATTTTATTGCATATTCAAAATATATTTCTATTATAAGCATAGCATTCTGTTTAGGGCTGTAAAAACTATTAATATTCAGTGATTTGGGGGTCAATTAATATCATTCATAAATCTATCAACCCTGTGAATGGTTTATAGTGTTGATATTTTCTTCAAAGCTGTGAACTGAATTAATCACAATTTATATACATATCTATATATGACTTTTAAATGTTCATTGTGCTGTATGCTGACTTTTTTAACATCTAAAATTCTGCTTAGCACTCAATATTTTGCTTATCTCACCTATGAAATTATGTCTTTAAAATCTTTTATAGTATCAGATGATATGATATGTTTCTGCTGAATGTTTTCCTCACTTTATTTGTTTTATCTCAGGGGAAGGCCTTACAGCCTCCCGCCATTCTTTACGAGCAGGTCTCTCTGCCTCAAATATTTCCCTGAGAGGAGAGAATCGTTTGTCCCTTCTTCTCAATTACCTACTTCCTGGATCTCCAGCAACCTCAAGGAGTACAACCCCTTTGCCTACCCCACAAAGCACTCCACCTTCCACTCCTAGGTGTGATTCTAAGGGAGCCACAAATTTCCAGCCAACCGAGCATCAGGTGTCTCCTTCTAATGATGATATTCCTAAAGTAGTAATTCATCCACCCGAGGAAGATTTAGAAGCTCAGGAAGGCAAGAAGAGGACAGAGGAAAATAGTGACATAACACCAGGCAACTATTTGAACTCAAATTATCCATGTGTGGTGCTTTCTGCAGCTGAATCACTCCCACTGCGAAAATTTTAATCACACAGCTTTAGCACCCATAAATTGTACATCAGTCTGCTATTTGTTTGCATGCCTTATTATTTTTGTGTGATATTTTCTCGGAGAACTTTATTTGGTATTTTGAAATAGATAAAATATGTTATCCTTAATATTAACATAAATATTAATACATTGGAAGCAATTACATGTGTGAACATTTCTCCATACTTTTTTGTTTCTTAACAAAATGAATTCATTCAGCAAGTGCTTCTGCTTTAAAAGATAAAAAAGGTGTTTGAGTGTGTATGTAGGGGGGATAAGTTATACATTTGTAAACTAAAAATGGTGGCCTTTTCCTCATTTTCAAAACTCCTAATTCCCATAGGGAAGATACACTAAGAATCCAAATATCATGATCTCTGTTGTGAAATTTCTACCTAATTTCAAGATTACAGTAGAACACTAGTAATTATTAATGCTACTTTGCCCATTACATGAGACTGAATGGGAATACAGAATATTTTATACTATGTGATACAACAATTAAAGAGATATTTAAATAGAAAGAGAATCCAGCAAGTCTACTTAGGCTCTAAAAATAAATTGTATTATGAGACAACTCTTGTAGTATGAATATGGTATGGACAATTCTTGCATGATACTTCTTTCTTGGATATCCTGTTCTTTTCATACATAGATATTTGTTAGTCCCAGAGAATAATACTCTGGCTAAAATGTGACTATCTAACCATAATCATTGATTCAATTTCAAGTTACCCTTTTCTTCATTTGCTTAGTTATATAAAACATTTTATCCTTTAGCTAAAGAAGCCTTCAGAGTAGCTTTGAAAGATGAACACTGTCCTTGTTATCATGATTATAATTAGACTATAAAATCATGTAGGAATAATGAAGTATTATAAGTTGCTTAAAATTGCTAAAAACAGGAAACAGTTTGTATATTTTTTGAGCAGAAGCTTTTTAGGATATGCGCTTTCATAATAATTATATTGCAATTATATTTCAACCAAAAATAGATTTTTACATATCTACAATCAGTGTTGTCTTTAATTGATACTGAATTATTTTTCCAGTCTTTAACATACTTATACATGCATGCATACATATTGACCTATGACCAGTTGCTTGGCAGCTGCTTGAAATTATAATGAACCTTCCTAGGGTTATTAGAAAAGATAATCTGGAAACGATAAAAAAACAACAGATCTGTGAACATCTAGAAATGAGTAAAGTAATAACTAGAAGTCAGCACAGGTTTGTTAAAAATATATCATGCCAAGCTAATCTTACTTCATTCTTTGACATAATGACTAAATTAGTAGACCAGTGAAATACTATGAACATAGTATACTTAGACTTCAGCAGGGTGTTCAACAAGGTAGACCAGAGCCTACTTCTTTGTAAGCTAGAAAAAATTGGATAGCATCAGCATCAGATGGATTTGTAACTGGCTGACAAACCGTACTCAATGAGTAGTCCTTAACGATACTATGTCTGCCTGGAGGGAGGTAAGCCGTGGGGTATCACAAGGTTCTGTCTTAGTTCCAGTACTCTTCAATATCTTCCTAAATTACTGAAATGAGGAAATAGAAGGGGAACTTATCAACTTTGAAGATGATAGTAAGCTGGCAGGAATAGCCGGCATCCTAGATGATAGACCCAAGAGCCAGATGGATCTTGACAGACTTAAACACTGGGTCCTAACTAATAAAATGAAATTCAGTGTTGAGAAAAGTAAAGAATTAGGAAAGAAAAACCAAAAGTACGCATATAGATTGGGAGAAATTAGCCTTAATAGCAGTAACTATGAGAGGGAAGTTGAAGTCTTAGTGGACAACCAATTAAATATGAGCCAACAGTGTGTAGTGGCAGCCAAAAAAGCCAATGCAATCCTAAATTGCATTAAGAGAGATTCAATCATGGTAAGAAAGAGTGCACAGAAGAGGAGCAAATATGATTGGGGACTGGAGGCTAAAACATGAAAAATGGTTACATGAACTGGGCATAGCTAGTGTAGTGAACACAAATATCAGAAGAGACATGATAGAAGTGTTCCAATATTTGAGAGGCTATCGCAGAATGGAAGGGGTCAACCTATTTTCCAAAGTACCTGAAGGTCAAACAAGGAATAATAGATGAAAACTGATCATATTTCTACTGAATATTTTCCTCACTTTATTTAAAATTCTGTAGAGATTCTCACTCATCCAGGTCATGGTTATCCCAAAAGTGCTTTTTCAGGAGGCAACTGAACTTTCCTGTTTTTTTTTCTTTTGAAGAAAAGAGAAGCAAAACATCTTCAAAAGAAAAAAAAACAGGAAAGTTCAGTTGTCTCCTGAAAAAGCACCTTTGGGGGCCTTACTTTATTTGTTTTATCTCAGTGAAAGATCTTTAAGCCTCCAACCATTCTTTATAAGCAGGTCTCTCTGCCTCCTGCCAACTTAGCAGTTTAAAAGCATGCAGATCGGGTAGCTAAATAGGTATAATTTTGGTGGGAAGGTAACAGTATTGTATGCACCTTGGCATATAGTCATGATGGTCACATGAGCATAGAAGTGTCTTTGAACAGTGCTGGCTTCCTCATATGAAATGGAAATGAGTACCAGCTCCTAAAGTCAGATACAACTGGACAGAGGAAACTTTTACCTTTATGATGGTGTTTACAGAGACACTTTAGCATTTGTGTATGTTTGCACTAGGATACTTGGTTGCTGCATGATAAGTACTAATTACATCATGGTTAAAACCTGCCAATCCCATGCATCAGGAATTGATAGGGAGACTTGATTACAAATTGTATGGCTTTAAGTGCATCTCTTTCACATTTCCTATATGCTTTATAAAGTGTGATTTAAGGTTTGTATATGTACTTGAAGTTTGATTTCGGACTTGCTATTTATTTGTTAATAGACTTTCAAGCATGTTAAGATGACAAGGGAACAATTTATTTTCTTTTTTTCTTTTTAGTTTTTATCTTGAATGAGTTCTATAATTTGAGATATTTAATGTTTCACATTCATTTGGGCTTAGAGGTTTCTATTAATGTATGGAAAAGTATGTCCCTTACAGATTTATTAATTATTATTAATTTATTATTATATACTTTATTCATTAAACATGAAACTCAGCCATTAAACATGAAACTCAGTCAACTGAACGCTTTAAATTGAATCACAAATATCATTGACTGGGTCTAATGGTTGATACCAGCATCCTAGGTATCCACCAAGTGTTGTGGCCCAGCAGGATCCGGTTGAGCTGCTGATGGACTCAGATAGCGAGGAACCATATGAGTCTGCCAGGGAAGATGTGGAGGACCCTGGGCAGGGTTCAGACTCAGAGCAGGGACCAGAGAGGCTGGTTGGCCACCAGGAGGCGCCTGAGGCATGGAGCAGTGGAGAGGATTCAAGGGAGTTTGTCCCTGACGCAAGACTAAGAAGGGCGGAGAAATGGAAGCAGCAGCTGCAGAGGCAGACTCAGAGATGATAATTAAGCCCAGGTGGTTGTGGCTTGGCCCCTCCCAAGAGAGTATATAAGTAAAGAAGGTGGGGGGGAACATTTGCAGGACACAACCGTTTGAAACAGTATTGGAAAACTCTGCCTTGTTTCTGTGCCTGTTGGATTTTGGGTTGCTGACAACTCTTGGCAGCCTCGCTCTCCTGCGAT